ACTCTTACGTCCCCTATTAGTCTCCCATGGGGGACCTTTCAAGATTCCATAGATTCTGGAACAGTTGCTATGGATTGCAAGGTAGCTAATGTAATTGCACTACTTTGAAAGGGAGGTAGAGAGCAAACAGAATATCATAGATCACTTAGCCTGACCTTAGTCATGGGGAAATACTAGAGTCCATTATGAAAGATTTAACAGCAAAGTAATGAAAAACAGCACAGGATACAGTCAGCAAGGGCATATGAAAGGGAATTCATGCGTGACAAATCAAATGGGATGTTACTGGCAGAGTTGATAAATGCAAGTGGTTTACTTGGACTTTCTGAAATGTTTTGATGAAGTCCCACATAAGTGATTAGCATGTAAAATTAAAACACATGGGATTGGGGGTGAGATACTGACACAGATAGCAATCTGATTGGCAGACAGGAAACAGAGTAGGAATAAATGGGTCTTTTAACCCACAGTGCAGACAGGGACTAGTGGGGTATTACAGGGATATCTGCTTGGACCCCAGCTATTCATAGTGTATATCAACCGATTTAGAGGAGGAAACTAAATGTGATATCTCCAAGATTGTAGACGGCATAAAGTTGGCTGGGAGAATGAGCTGTGAGGAGAATGCAAAGATTTTCAGTCTGATTTGGCAAGTTCAGTGAGTGGGCAAATGCATGACGGCTGAAGTATAATATGGATAAATATAAAGTTATCCACTTTGATAGCAAAAACAAGAAGACAGACTATATTCTGAACGGTGATAGATTGGGAAAGGAGTACGTGCAATGAGACCTGAGAGTTTGTGCACACAAGTTGCTGAAAGCAAGCTAGCACATGCAGCATGTGTGATGAAGTCAAATACTATGTTGGCCTTCATTGGCATAGGATTCGAGTACAGGAGCAGGGATGTTTTGCTGAAATTGTACAGGGCCTTGGTGCGACCACACTTGGAGTACTGTGAGCAGTTTTAGTCTCCTTATCTGAGGAAGGATGTTCTGTCAGTAGGAGGGATTGCAACAAAGATTTGCCAATCTGATTTCTGAGATGGCATGGCTAATGTATGAAGAGAGACTAGAAATACAGTTACGACTATATTCACTGAAACTTAGAAGAATGGGTTGGAGGGGGAATCTCAGAAACCTATAAAATTCGAACAGGACTAGACAGGGTAAATACAGGAAGGACATTCCCAATGACGGAGAGTCTGGAACCAGGCATCACAGTCTAAGGATATGGGGAGGCAATGACCTATTGGTATTATTGCTGGACTGTTAATCCAGAGACCCAGATAATGTTCTGGGGACCCAGGTTCGAATCCCACCAGGGCAGATAGTGGAATTTGAATTCAATCAAATATCTGGAATTAAGAATCTAATGATGACCATGAATCCATTGTCAATTATTGTAAAAACCCATCTGATTCACTAATGTCCTTTAGGGAAGGAAACTGCCATCTTTACCTGGTCTGGCCTACATGTGACTCCAGACCCACAGCAACATGGTTGACTCTAAACTGCCCTCTGGGCTATGAGGGATGGGCAATAAATGCTGTCTGGTTAGTGACGCCCTCATCCCGTGAATGAATATAACAGAAATATGGAGTAGGGCATTTAGATCTGAGATTGGGAGATACTTCGTCATCCAGAGAGAGTGGTGAGTCTGTGGAATCTTCTGCTAAAGGAAGCAATCACTGTTTTTAAGAAGGAATTAGATGGAGTTCTTTAGTTTAAGGGGATCAAAGGCCATGAGGAGGAAGTGGGAATAGAGTAATGAGTTAGATAATCAGACATGATCGTACTAAACAGCAGTACAGGCTTGAAGGGCCGAATGGCTTATTCCTGCTCATATTTTCTATGTGATATGAAAATGGCCCTGAAATTATTTAGGCTCTGTACAAATGGCATGCGATGGAAAAGAAACCTATCAGGGATGGTATATTTTGTGTTTCAATACATTCACTAATTAGAGAAAACATGTCTGAAGCAACTATATGCTCTAACTATCCACTTCAAGCATTAAAAATTCTACCATATCACTGCCAAGTGAAGACAGCTTGTAGGGAATTGTTGTAGTGAAGTATACAATGCACCTGAATGTAAATATGTATAAATAAATTCACCCTTTCAGATCAAATGTCTGAAAAGCTGGAAATCCGTTAAATTTATGATGAAAGGAGGATTTTTAAAATCTGCTTAGTTTGTTTGCACTTAATCTGTGAGGATCTTCTAAAAGAGACAGAGTTAATCATATACTGCCACACATGACCTTGCCAATGTCTAAACTCATCACCCCTCTGGCAGTGTCACAGCAATTAGCATTTTTAAAAAAAAATCAACAGTGTTCTGTTCTTTCTAGGGGGAAATGCAGCAATTGAAGGGAAATTCGATAGGTGTATGTTAGTTCATTTCATGGGTATACATTTATTCAGGAGAGAAAAGTTAATACAGTATTGTATTAAACTTGTCTGGCTTTGGGTTGAAATACATTATATTACGGCTGCAGTGCACAGAAAATGCCAATCAAACATTAATACTAATTAATAACATCATTGGTGCTAAACTAGTGTTACACTGATCATTTTTCCATGAGGTACATTCAATCACATCAAGCTGACAGGATGAAAGACCTTTATTGGAAGTAAGGCTCCTAATCTCAACTAATTTGGCCGACTTTACAATTTATTGAGGCAGTACAAAATTGGCATAACTCAACATTTCTGGGACAAACGCACAATTTAATTCAGAGAGGCACAGATACAAGTTGTCAAAATGGTAAAGTAGGAAATGCTCTTGTAGGCTCAACAATAAGATAGACTGTGTCAGGATTTTTACCCAATATCCTATACGATATAACTATCACTGTCTGAAAGGATCCTAACCGCAATGCCAGTGATGACAGTGGCAAACAGAACATAAAGAGTAGGCCATTCAGCTCAAGTCTGTTCCGTTGTTCAGCAGATAATTGTCGACCTGCACCATAATATCTTCACTCTGCTACACTGAATATTCTTGCCCATCAAAAATCTAGTAATTTCAGTTCTGACATTTTCAAATGACCTAGCCTCAAAAACCTTTTTGTTGAGCAGGGGAAATAGCTTCAGATTGTCATTATCTTGTGTGTGAGAAAATGTTTCCTTACACAATTCCTGAACAGCCTAGATAGCCCTAGGTTTAATGTCCCCATGTTATTCTGCCTCCCCCACAAGAGAAAAGAATCCTCTTTCTGTTCTATCAAATCCTTTAGACATTGTTAACATTTCAAATAGATTACCGTTTAATATTCTATCATCAGATGAATACATGATTAATCTATACTGGCTGCCCTCATAATTCAACCTTGGTTTTATTCTGAACAGGCAGAAGGAAATGGATGGGGATGTATATAAAAGTAATTTGTATTTGCTTGAGTTATTTTTCACACACTAAATGAACCAGCAAATTTTTAATGGATTTTAACACTAAATGCTCAAGTAAAATTATGAACAATTTCAAACAATCACAATGTCAAGTTCATTTCCATTGCAACCTAACTTCTGCCTTTACAACTTTGCTTTAAAGCAATGAGCAATTCACAAATGAGTGGTTCACTGTTATGGGCCAACTCACAAAGTCACCAGCTTATTCTTGTATTTCCTTGGAAATGGCACTCCCTTAAATGCAGAACAAAAGATTGCTGTATTATCAGATCATTAAGGAACTTTTATAATAAAAAAACCCCAGAAATTGCTGAAAAAAAAACTCAGTAGAACCAGCAGCATCTGTGGAGAAACAAAACTGACATTTCACCAACTTTGACAGTGGCTGGCTGACCTGTCAAGCATTTCCAGTATTTTCTGTATCTATTTTGGATTTTTAGCACCAATGCTATTTTAATTTAATAGAAAGAGCTCGTTCCTTTAACTATTTAAATTAGACAATGAAAACTTTTAAACTAACTAGTTGACAAATATCCTAAAGGATGTCACTCAGCAGTCAGCTACATTATCAGGACTTAAAACTAAACTCAGTAGAACACAATAAATTATTTGTTCCTGAAGCAGTCTGCTCACAACTTCCCTGCTTATAGCTTCCATAGTCAACTGCAAGTGCAAGAAATATACATCATGTTGATGAGATATCAATGGACATTTGGGTTACATTTAGCAGAACACAGCATCACAGAGCTGCTACGGCAGATGTTACGTGTCTAATTCCACAGGGCATTCAACACTTCAGCTAACTTTTTAAAATTGTACAGATTGCTTCACTGAGTGCAACTTCGCCCCTTTTGTAGAATGCTACAGCATGTGAAATATGAATCAAGATCATGCTGTTGTGCACAGTTACAAATAAAGACAAAACAATTCACATATTCTGCTACAGCTAACAAAAAAAGGAATCATTGCATTTTCGTACGTTGGCATTGCACACGCTTTACCTGCAATAATCCATGGTTGAACCTTGAGATCCTTAACCAATCGGACCCTTTTTTTTTGAGCTGTGCTTTAAGTGATAGTGCACGCAATTATGCAATCATAAATGTGTATAAATTGAGATAAAAAGGCGAAGAAGGAAATGCCTGCGATCAGTAATGGGTAAGAATCTGTGCTTGTTTAGAGAAACGCAAACTTTATGACCCTCTCTTGGCAAAACAAACATCCCGTAACTCAACTCGTTACTTAGAGTTTCTTACAGGTTAAAGTCCCTGAGCAAAAGGAACGAAGCACTAGACAGGCACTCAATATCAACTGATCAGATTGTCCGAACACTCTAACACACTCGCCTCAGCTCTCCGGATGAAAGAGAAAAGGGGATGATAGCAAAGTGACTTTAAGTCCCCGGAACACAACAGTTCCCAGCAGCAAACGTTCCCGCACTCGGCAATCTCGCTCCTCCCCACCTACTGCCCTTGCCTCCGGACCTTTTGCCCTGAGAAGTTCACTCCAGGAGGTGTTTAGGAAGCGGAGGGGCAGCAAGCCTCCGCTTTCAAAGTTTCTCTCTCTCTGTTCCTGTGGTTCTTACCTTCCCTGGACAGGGACTCGCTGCCCAAACTTAAGAGGATCAGGAGGTGGACGCAGCCCGGCAGCAGGGAACACAACATGGTTCAGCGGCTTCCCTCTGGGCGATATCCCGTGTTGAGCACACAACAGGGTAGGCAGCAGTTAGCGCTGAGTTGAGCTAGCCCAGCCCCTGTTTCTGTGTATCTGCCCCTCCCTCCCTCTTTCTGCCTGTGTCAGCCCGAAGCTAGCACTCAGCCTGACGTCAATTCACTGGGAGGAGAGAGAGAATCCAGGTGAGACTGACACTCACAGGGTCCTACACTTCCCCTGGGCACCCAGAGCACCCTCCTCTGGTATTGCTTCCCACTCACATCTCCTCCCAGCGGTTGCTCATCCACGGGATGGCTCTATGAGCCAGAGGTAGCAGCCAGGCATCAGACATCCCCTATTAACCCTTTAGGGCAGGGCGAGAGCCCTGATAAGCAGCGAGCAGGCTAAATACGAGTCATGCTTGAAAGTGATGGAATGGTCCGAACGCGCCCGTGATAGCACAGATCTCACTCCTCTCATTTTTTTAAAAAAAATTAAGGACAAGGAGAAACGTTTTTGGCAATGTGTACGTGAATACAAGTTGCCACCTGCGAAAAAAAATCATCTTGCAAACGTAAGTTCTTTGCAGAGACTATTATCCTTCCAAGTGGTATCAATGACAGTAACTTATAGGTGGGAAGGTAGAATTTAACCACATTTAAGGTATCCTCCATGAGTATATTAAAAAAAAACTTCTCAGCACCATTAATGACCTCTATTATTCAGGGAAGGGTGTGCGGAGGAAGGAAACATACTCTGGTGCCATTGGCACCAGCAGGTCCTGAAGTTCATAAATAATGTAAGCAATTTTAGTGTAAGGCTTCCCTTAGGTGGAAAAAAGAAAGTCGAGAAAGGAGCAACGCATACAGACTGAAGTCTACACTGTGAAATGTTAAATACTCATTACACCTTTTCAGCTTTCAAACATTATATGCTTAAATGAATGATTTACAGAAATGATTGCGTATATTTCGAAAGTTAACTATTACGAAGTAGCATTGGAATGCCTGCAATGTGTATGAGGATACAAAATGCCCTTTTTTAAATTGCTAGACAAACAAACAAATTATTCAGGAATATAATAAAATTCCAGCCCTCAACACAGTCAGTAGGAGGCTACACCTATTCTTATATCTAACAGCATCAAATAATTGTTTCAGCTTGTTGTGAAGAGGCAATATCTGGCTTAATATTAAGACACTGTAGAAATGCTGTTTCTTTTCTTTCTGCTTAAGTCCAATTGTGATCATTCCTGTAAAGGAACAACACTATACCAGTCACAGCTGCGTGGAACACTTTTCAAAATTACTCCTCTATCAGGTTCACATAAATTCTTATTTTCTCTGTGTTTCCATTTGAACTCATGTTACAGTGAGAATCTACAACATTTTAAATTGCACTTTACAGACTATTGCTTTTAGATATAAACTTTCAAGTGTCTGAAAAGATTACATTTCCAGGATATAATTTAAGCAAAATAGTACACAGTGTACAGTATATATTCTAGACTTAGCTTTTCAATGAAACTAGTCCAGGAGATTTTATGTAATGTTTTTTCAATATAGGAGGCAATGGTTCATGGCTGCTATGGCAGCAAATAAATGCAAACATATTGCAACATCAGTGCAAAAAATAAGGCTGAAGCTTTTGCAGCAATACTCAGCCAGAAGTGCCAAGTAGATGATCCATCTCGGCCTCCTTCAGTGATCCCCAGCATCACAGATACCAGTTGTCAGTCAATTTGATTCACTCCATGTGATATCAAGAAATGGCTGGGACACTGGATAGTACAACAGGTAAGGACCTTGACAACATTCAGGCAACAGTGCGGAAGACTTGTGCTCCAGAACTTGCCACTCCCCTAGCCAAGCTGTTCCAGTACAGTGACAACACTGGCATCTACCCAACAATGTGGAAAATTGCCCAAGCATGTCCTATACACAAAAAACAGGACAAACCTAACCTGACCAATTACTGCCCCATCAGTCTACTCTCAATCATCAATAAAGTGATGGAAGGTGTCATCAACAGTGCTATTAGCATCTGCTTAGAAATAACCTGTTCAGTGATGCCTGGTTTGGGTTCCGCCAGAACCATACAGCTCCTGACCTCATTACAGCCTTGGTTCAAACATGGACAAAAGAGCTGAATTCCAGAGGTAAGGTGAGAGTGACAGCCCTTGACATCAAGATTGCATTTGACTGAGTGTGGCATCAAGGAACCCTAGCAAAACTGGAACCAATGAGTATCGGGGGCTAACTCTCTGGTGGTTAGAGTCATACCTGACAGATAGGATGATGCTCATGGTTGTTGGAGGTCAGTCATTCAGCTCCAGGTGGTCTCTGCAGGAGTTCCTCAGGGTAGTGTCCTAGGCCCAACCATCTTCAGCTGTTCATCAATGACCTTCCCTCCATCATAAGGTCAGAAATGGGGTTGTTCACTGATGATTGTACAACGTTCAGCACCATTTGCGACTGCTCAGATCCTGAAGCAGTCCATATCCAAATGGAACAAGATCTGGACAATATCCAGGCTTTGGCCGACAAGTGGCTAGTAATATTCATGCCACACAAATGCCAGGCTATGACCATCACCAATAAGTGACAATTTAACCACTGCCCCTTGACATCCAATGGTGTTACCATCACTAAACCCCACTATCAACATCCTGGGGGTTATCATTGACCAGAAACTTCATTGGACTCACCACATAAATACAATGGCTACAAGAGCAGGTCAGAGGCTAAGAATACTGCAACATATCTCCTGACTCCCCAAAGTCTGTCTACCATCTACAAGGCACAAGTCAGGAGTTTGATGGAATACTCCCCACTTGCCTGGATGAGTGCAGCCCCAACAACACTCAAGAAGCTTGGCACCATCCAGGACAAAGCGGCCCGCCTGATTAGAACTGCATCCACAAGCATTCACCCCCTCCACCACCAACCCTTAGTCGCAGCAATGTGTACAATCTACAAGATGCACTGCAGAAATTCACCAAAAATCTTCAGACAGCACAATCCAAACCCACAACCGCTTCCATCTGGAAGGACAAGGGCATAAGATATCTGGGAACACCACCACCTTCAAGTTCCCCTCCAAGCCATTCACCATCCTGACTTGGAAATATATTGCTGTTCCTTCACTGTCATTGGGTCAAAATCCTGGAATTCCCTCCCTAATGGCATTGTGGGTCAGTCCACAGCAGGTGGATGGCAGCGGTTCAAGAAGGCAGCTCACTACCACCTTCTCAAGGGCATCTAGGGATGGGCAAGAAATACTGGCCAGCCACAATGCCCACATCCCATTAATCAATAAATAAAAAATTAAATGGATAATGACATTGAAGGATATATTAAATAGTTTAATATAATTGCAAGAAGCCTTTAGTATAAATTCTGTGATTAATACATGAAGCTGTGAAAATAATGACGGAATGCTGACATGATAGTGTACTCAGATTATCTAGGTCTCTAAAATAAATCAATCTAGACTGCATAAGACTTGTGTTAAGACATAAATAATCTGAATATACAAAGAGGAGAATAGACAGCAAAACAGCTCAGAGATTAGTAATATTAAACTTTCTTAAGTCCTCCAAAAGTGAACGAACATATAACAACAGCTTATATTTATATATTGCTCCAAGGCACTTCGCAATGCCATCTTAAAAGAAAATGTCATACCATGTCTCATGAAGAGTTGTAGATGTAGAGATGTCCAAGAGCATGGTCAGGGAAGAAGATTTTAAGGAGTATCATAAAGGAGGAAGGAAAATTATACAGACAGCAGGGTTTAAGGAGAGAATTCCAGAATTTGGTGCCACAGACAGCAAAGGCATAGTGAAGTAACTAAAATTGGGAATTTTCAAGATGCTGGAATTAGAGGAACACACATATCTTGGAAGGTTGTAGTGCTGGAGAAAGTTATAGAGGTAAATTAAGTTTTAGATCAAAGTGTGGCTTAACTGGATTTAGTGTAGCTCAGTGTGGGCAGAAGTGATGGGTGAATGAGATCTGACATGGGCTAGGACACAGGCAACGGAGTTTGTATGACCTCATGTTTATAGAGTGTAGAATATGTGAGGTTGGACTGAAGGGGATTGAAATAGTGAGGATGGTATGGATGTGGGTTTCAGCAGCCAATAAGGTGGAAATCAATTGTCTCAGCATTGACACTTACTGCATTTGATCAAGCAGTCATCTTAATGTGACACTGACGTTGCAAACAGTTACCGCAAGAGGAATGGAGTCAGTGATGAGGAAGACAATGGCTTCAGACTTCCCGTTATTTATCTTGGGGTAATTTCTGTTCATCCAGGGCAAGATGTCAGATCACATTCTGATAATTTACAGACATATTCACGCCACACAAATACCAGAGTGAGACCATCACCAATAAGAGACAATTTAACCACTGCCCTTTGATATTCAATGGTGTTACCATCACTGAATTACCCACTTTCAAAATCCTGGGGATCATCATTAACCAGACACTCAATTGGATTCACCACATAAACACAATGGCTACAAGGAGATAGTAAGAACTGCAGATGCTGGAGTCAGAGATAACACAGTGTGGATCTGGAGGAACACAGCAGGCCAGGCAGCATCAGAAGAGCAGGAAAGTTGACGTTTCGTGTCAGGACCCTTCTTCAGAAAACAAAAGGTAAAGGTAAAGTTATGTAATCAGGGAGGCTAATGGAATGGTATGCATTATTACAAGAGGAATTGAACTTAAATGTAAGGATTATGCTTCAGTAACTAAGAGATTGCTGAGACCACATCCAGAATATTGTGTGCCTAAAAAATTCTAACAGGACTAGATAGGTTAGATGCAGGAAGGATGTTCTTGATCGTGGAGGATTTCAGAACCAGGGGCCATAGTTTGGGGATAAGGAGTAAAGGCTTTTGGACTGAGATGAGGAAAAATTTCTTCAACCAGGAAGTGGTGAGCGTGTGGAATTCACTACCACAGAAAGTGGTTGAGGCCAAAACATTATGTGTTTCATGAAGGAGGTAGCTATAGCTCTTGTGGATAAAGGGAATCCAGGGATACAGGGGGAGGCCAGGATTAGGTAAAGAGCTCAATGATCA